ACAGAACCTCGTCCTGAAAATCATTACGTTTTCAGTTCACCAATGTCGGGGAAAACGATCCAAACCATACAAGTAGCCCATCGATTTAAAGCCCAGACTCTGCTCTTTCCAACAATATAAGTGTCACAGCTCTACGTGAAAAATTCACAGAACAAGCAGCCAAGGAATAGTGAAAAAGGCTAAATTYTGGAACCATAAACACGAACGTCTTTCCTTTGTTTTTATGTCTTTAATCCACTTTGGAGTGATTTTTTTCCACTTGGCTGGACCTGTACGTCTCCTGTGTTAGTGTTGGTACATGTAATATGCTAATTCTGTACTGTGGAGATCATTAAGAGTCGTCGTCGGGTGAAAAAATCTTTCGTGAACTGGAAGTGTTGGGAGTGGCATCACGTGCTGGACCAGATGTCCGTGGYWTATAGGCTGTTGTTACAGTAAGTGAAGGAGAGGGAGGAGGACTTCTGTAGACCCTGTGTCACCTGCTGTGTTCCAGGTTACCTGCAGGAGGCCTACCTGTGGACCAAGCAGGTGCTGTCCATCATGGAGAAGTCCATGGTCCTTCTGCAGGACGTGACGGACGGCTCGCTGTATGAGGGCGTGGCCTATGGGACCTACAGCACCCGCTCTCTGTTCCAGTACATGTTTCTGGTGCAGAGACACTTCTCCATCGGACACTTCACCCACCCCTGGCTGCTCCGTCACTTCTCCTTCCTCTACAGAACCATCCTGCCAGGTAACATCACCTCACCTGTTGGACCTGGACCCACCTGGTCCTGTCCTACACCTTCTTCTAAACTGAGTGGTCTGTGTTGAAGTGTTTCCTGCGCTCTGATTGGCTGCTSTGTCTGCCTCGCTGCTGCTCTGCAGTAATGTTCTCCTGGACCGTGTTCAGACCCGGGCCGGGGCCTGCGGGGTCTGAAGGTGTCCTGGCAGATCTATGAGGATCACAGGGAGGGCAGCAGTGAGGAGGAGGAGCTGGGCTGCTCCAGACATGTTGCAGCTCCGTGTTCTGCTCCTGGAAGAACCTCCCAACACAAACAGAAGATTCTGAAGGGTTCTGCTAATCTGAACTCTGAGGCCCTGTTCAGAACTGGACCTCTACATCCACTTCAGAGGCTGGGATACCTTCAGGAAACCATTATAAACAAGCAAAATCCTGAACCTCTCAGGCCAAAAACAACAACAACCTGAAACTAAATCTTTAGCTTTACTGCAGAATCAAACTGTTATTATGGGTTCAAACAGCTGAAAAACTCCTGATAAATTACTGATTTATTGTTCTTTTTCTAAAACTGAACAAAAATATCAGGTTATATCAGTTTTTCATGGTTTTCTCATCAAATACATATTAAATCAAAATAATAATCTGGATTTTATGTCACTAAAAATGTATTTACACAAATCTAAACCAAAATATGTTTTGTCAGTATTTTTGTTTTTTATATTTATGTACTCAAAAACATAATAATGAATTGAATTTCAAACAAAATCTGTTAATTAAATGTGTTGACAAGTTTTTTATCCTTTTGTCCTGACATGTTTCTGCATGTTCCTCTGTCTTTACATGTCTTTTTGTCATTAAACTGGTTCAGATTTGTCCTTATCACACATCAGGTTATAACTGTGTCTCTGGTAATCATCATGTTGGACGAGGCGGACGGTACCTGTCCTTACAGAGGGAACAACAGAATATTTAAAAAGATGTGCATCTGTTAGGACCCTGGTCTTATTAGAAACCTGTYTGATGTACAGTCTGTGTGTGAGGGCTGCAGTTCTCCTGTGTCTTCATGATTTGWTGATGTTTTCTGTAAATCTGTGACAGAGGTTCTCCTTTCTGTTCTCACCAGGATTTCAGAGGACTGTAGCCATCGCTGACTCCAACTACAACTGGTTTTACGGCCCAGAGAGCCAGCTGGTCTTCTTGGACCGCTACGTGTTGCGTAACGGCAGTGGGAACTGGCTGGCAGGTCTCATTCATCAGAACAGAGTCACAGAAGGACCGGGGCAGGCGGGGAAAGGCCAGAGATGGTGCACCCTGCACACAGAGTTTCTTTGGTAAGATCCGGCCTCCAGTCCAGGAGCAGAACATGGTCTGAAAGCTGGTTTTGTTTGGACTCAGYCTTTTGTAAATATTGGAACATAACTTGTTTATTTTTAACCAGTCGTGTTCTTTTCTACGAGCAGCTGAACAGAAAGGACACATCATTATTTTCTGTCTGGAGCTTTTTGGATCTAGTCCAGAGGTGTCCAGTCCTGGTCCTGGAGGGTGTTTATCTTGCAGGTTTTACTTGTTTCTCTGATTCAGAGACTGCATCACCTCTTCATGTTCTGCAGAAGACTTTCACATTCATTCGAATCAGGTGTGTTGGAGCAGAGAAAGCTCTAAATCCTGCAGGATAGTGGACCTCCAGGACCAGGACTGCCCACCTCTGACTGAGACAGACTGAGCATGAGGGAAAACTGAAGCTGAGTTGTATTTTTAAATGTTCTCACCCACGGTCACCAAGCTGGAGCTCTGCAGTGAAGAGCTTTGGTTTCTGAGCGTTGAACTACAGAGTGACATTCAGCTAAAGTTAGTTTTCTGTATCACATTGGAGTACCACCTGGAGCCTGGTCTGGTCTCCATTAGCTTTAAAGCTTAACCCTTTAAAAAATAGTTAGAAAATTCCCATTTTTTTAGAACTGACGTGTTTTTTCTGGGCCTTTAAACAAAATCCAAAAAGTTTTTTTGCCACTTCACTTTGTTTATGATATATTTTTTGTATCAAATCTGATACACTGGGCTGTTTTGATAACATTTTGCTCACAACAAAGTTAAATTAAGAAAAAAGACAGTTTTGCCCATAACTTTTAACAAGTTTAGAACACCATGAAGTTTACTTCTTTGTTTTTTTTTACGACAAAGTTTTTACAGCCATTTATTTCACTTTGTGGTAGGCACAAATACAGTTTCTGTCCTTGTTCAGGTACAGATGTACCTGACACTTTTTAAAATAAATGTCATCTATTATATCATTTCACACATTTTCTTACTTTCGTTTTTTTCTCTCTTCTTCCTCAGTTTTCTTTGACATCTAACATGTAAATATTTAGTCAGTACAGCGTAGAGACTATAATTTCAAAGGAAACCACTTTGAAAATAGCTAAAATGTGTTTTCAAATGGAATTTCAGTAATTAATCAATCATCCAAAACAGTGTGTGTTATTGTGGCAAGAATACTGTTGATTAAATTACTAAAATGTCACATGACAATTCAGGACTGGAGCACCTTATATACCTGCAGTATCAAGTTTGATACACACATTTTTAACACGGTTTAACTGTACTATTAAAATTATTTTTTATGTAACTCTGCATTGTTTCAACACAGAAAGTATTTATTAAAAAAATACAAACAATATTCATGTTATTCTTACCATAACTTCTCCAAAATTAGCAAAAGTTTTCCTGAAAAAAAATGTGTGGATGACCTCGCGTCAGCAGACAAAAAAGGCAAAAAAAAAAAGTTTCACTTCCTGCAGTAC